TCCACCTCTACAGCGATCAAAATCTCGACCATGCTCTTAAACGTGCTTAAGGTTTTATTTTCCGTTTCGTTTCTTTACTTATAGCCACTTACAGTACTGTGAAGCACGTTTATATACGTTTTTAACTGAACAAACTCAAGAGATATTTAAATAAAACATCCTAACTAAACGTTTTTACCTGATTTATTAAAACATTGGAATTACTTTATCTATAGTAAATAACTCCAAGTGATTTCATGTTAAATGTGAATATTAAGTGTAAACACGTGAATTTATTTAGGTATAAAGAGGGAACGCATAACACCATTAAAATTACCATTGGAATTACTTTATCTATAGTAAATAACTCCAAGTGATTTCATGTTAAATGTGAATATTAAGTGTAAACACGTGAATTTATTTAGGTATAAAGAGGGAACGCATAACACCATTAAAATATAAAATGAACCAACGCTACAAAACTATTTAGACTTTGTTCTGTGAACTAGGAAGCACTTTATTTGGGTTTATCTGGTTTTATTGTTGGTGGGATTATACCAAATTCAATTGCCTTTGCTTGGTATTAAAATAAAAATACAAACCTTTTTTTTATTATTATTACAATTACACACGTTTTTTTTTTTAATTTAATAAGCGCACTTTTATAATTTTTTTCTTTTCAGGAAAAGCTTTCAAATGTATTCATTCCCTGCTGATTTTGTTCCTAGTAAAATGGTCCTGACATTACGTGAGGTTTCCAGCTCAAAATTTAGCGGTTTTCTTTCTCTTGGCGTAATACTAAAGTAAAAGCATGCCTACGTGCAGGCACGTGCGTGATAAATATATTATCGCGCGTATACGTACACCACTGTAATAAGTTTTAGTGTTCGCTTTATAAACAACACTATTATAAAGACGGACATTGTAGTTTAATCAAATCTTGCATTATCTGTTTAATAACCGTACATTTCATGCAAAACTTTGATATTTCATGTAATTCACATGAAAACTTTAAATGCGTACTTCGTTTGTAAAATAGGAAATGCACCGTCTGAAAAACAGAAAGTTGATGTTGAGTGCCTCCAGTAAAATGATTCCAAGGCAACGTTGTTCCTATGGCATGGTATCCTAGCAACTGCTCGATGTTTTTACCTATTTCCTGAGACGGAAATGTTGATCATTTTGTTTGACACAAACAAAACAACCTTAACTTACCCATCACCATAGATATACGGAAACCAAGTGCGTTTATATGGCCTTCTACAACGCAACAGAAAAAAAAAAGACAACAAAAACGGGTTGCTACAGATTAAATTGCATGTTAGGAATAAAGAGTGTGCTGCAGGGTTTTGCTTCTACAAGCTGGAAAACGTATCGTTATAAATGTTATTGATAATATAAGAAATGCAAGCACTGTTTGTTTTATAAAATAATATTACTACTAAATGTCGGTTTTATACGGATATTTCACTGTCTTCGTTTGGTGGACAAAGAACCATCTGTGACAATTAGAACTGTTAAGACTAGATGGACGAATTATTAGATCTAAAAATAATTGCAGAAAACTGTCTCAAAAACGAGTGATAATGCAAATAAATTAAAATCATGCATATGAACGTTGGCTGATATAGTGTACACTCAAGACAAGGTAGTAATAATCGTTATATTCATTAAATAAAACGAACATATTTCTTCCCAGCTAATAACAAGAAATATTCCGTGACAAGCGACTTGAGAAAAAGTAATGACTTATTTGTTTGAGAAGGTGTTTTCTCGTCGCAAAGGTGGCGAACAATTAATTAGTCGAGTGAAAATAACATCAACGATAATTCACTCATAAAGCGTAGATAAACTAGCGTTAGAAAAACTGAACTGACATCTATGATGTCATTAGGACAAAAAACTGCCTTCTAATTTTACCGTAAAGTTGGAATTGGGGATCAGAAATGTGATCGTCATCCCAAAGCTATGCCACAGTTGTATTTTCGAAAACTAATTAAAGTCTAATGAAAATTGGTAATGAACGGAAGAGGAACAGCGGAATTTAATTTTTAATTTAGTTTTTAATTTGTGTAGTCTAAAATAAATAGGGTAACGAAGTAAAAAACATACTATATTTTTATAAGACAACTGATAGCTTCTTTATATTATTGATATTCAAATGAATTCCCCGGATGATTACGGTATATCTGTTATACATATATTACAAAAGACATTAAACAAAAAAGCACACGGAACATAAAATCTGTATTACTTCTCTCTCTGCTATCATGTCCTTTCTTTACAGTAAAAATTGGATCAGCCGCACTTACATGTATAGGTCCAGCACTTCAATCGCAAGAGTGCTTTTCATCTCAATTTCAAACCTTGTTCATGTTGTTATCACCTTCACAATGATATTATCGTAGATATTATTTATAAAATAGGTAATAGTGATATTGCTTAACCTTTATGTTTTTGATATTTTTATGATGACTTAGTAGTGAATATAATATAATTTTTTATCTGGTAGTTTAACTGCTTTGTATGTTTTGGTAAGTAGATTAAATTTTAAAAGCATAGAAGTTATTAAGCTGTGCTAAAACGCTATACTTATATGATGACAAATTGTTTAATATATAGGAAAATGTCTGTACGTGGTTGTTTTGAAGTTTGTTGTAAGTATGGTTACGGATTAATAAATGTTATATATTAAATGGTACGTTTAATAGAGTGCTAAGTCACTAATAAACACACATTTACTAAAATCGGCATGTAACTTAGAATAGTTTAGTGTTTTATACACAGAGGTACAGCCTTGTTATATATGTGTTTTGTAACGTTTTACAGAACTATAGGTATGAAGATAATGATAACGTGTAAGTTATTTGGGTTAAAACAGCTTCTCAGAGCAAAGGAGAGAAGATTAAGGTCTGGCATATAGCCTGGACCGACCTCTTGTTGTGTACAGTGCAATTATGAAAGTAATTAATCCAAGAACAGACACTGTTGTAACTGCAGTTGTTCGTGTTATATTAAACAGTCTCGGTGTTTTGTGATATTTATCTCTATGATACATTAAGTCGTTGATATTTAATGTTCTACACTTTGACGTTTGAGGAAGCGAAGTCTGTATATATATATTTATTTACAACTCTTCGGGAGTGAGGGTTAAAGGATTAACTTTGTGATACCTGTTAAAGTTGGGTTGTGTGGTTATTAACTATATATCTTTCTTAATAACTTTACAACATCTATTAAGGTTAGGTCGTATGATAAGTAGAAATGTGTTTTTTACTATCTTTACAGTGTTTGTGAAGGTGAGGTTGTATTTTTAGCTATTATGTATAATTTTACTAAGTTTACAATATCTGTGAGTATTAGGTTAGGCCTTCAGTTATTGTGTATGTTTCTATTAACTTCACAATATCTATTAAAGTTAGGTAGTGTGTTTCGTAATTATATATGTTTTTATTATTAACATTGTAATACCTGTTACGTTAAGTTATTGTACGTGTTTTATTAACTATGCTATATTTCTTAATTTACGGTGTATGATTAGTAACTTTATTTTTGATTGATACATCAATCGTGAGACAGAAGAGACTTCACAAGTTAGATCAATTGAAGTAATTCTCACGTTATTAACAACCTGTATGTTGGAGGTTAAGGAAATTCAAATTATTTACTTCCTTAGCTTCCAGTTTATGTTGTCATCAATAACCACCAGTCATTTAAAATGTATTTATCATATAAATATTGGAGAGAGGTTGATAAAGATCGACTTCGAGTGGTACTAGTATAGCTGTAATCAACATGAGTTAAGCACAATGCTTTAGGGATTATATTAACACGACTGTCTGCAACTATAAGCCCTCCAATAGCATGCTAACTCTGACACAGATGAAATTATGCTTTTATTATTACTTTCTTGTCACGCACTTGATAGAAAATAAGAGGAATGTCCGTATATTTTCACCATTCGGTGTTTAAGATGTATTTTAATGAAAAGGCTATTGTATTCAAATATAGGATAAAACCGTTGAAAACAAATCAATTTGTCCATTAATGTGAGTATAAATGTTTTTGGTCGAATATTTTCTTATTTAATACATTTCAAGAGTATAAACTAACTCAGTCAGGAAACCTTCAAAATTTATTTAAGATTTAGTCTGATTATCATTAGATATTGAGTTTCATTACTTTTAATAAAATACATCAAATGAATTAAACTTGATTCTTCTTAAGTTTCTTTTGTGGTCGTTGGTTTGTTTGTTAAGTTACTTAACTTTTAGCCTTTTTTATATTTAGATAAGTTTGCAAATTCAAGGATTTAGTGTGAAGCGGCATCTCCCACAGGTTAGAATAGTGTGAAGTGGCATCTCCCACAGTTTAAAAATAGTGTGAAGTGGCATCTCCCACAGTTTAAAAATAGTGTGAAGCGGCATCTCCCACAGGTTAGAATAGTGTGAAGTGGCATCTCCCACAGTTTATAATAGTGTAAAGCGGCATCTCCCACAGTTTAAAAATAGTGTGAAGTGGCACCTCCCAAAGTTTAGAATAACGTGAAGTGGCATCTCCCACAGTTTAGAATAGTGTGAAGTGGCATCTCCCACAGTTTAGAATAGTGTGAAGTGATATCTCCCACAGTTAAAAAGGAAGACCTTGTAAGGAATCTGTTCTAAATTATTATGAATAAAACGCCTTTCATGTTTACTTTTATTTCCTCTTGAAACCAATCATTCAGATAATACCAGCAGAAAAGTGAAATGGTTTTGACACAAACCCAGTCTAAAGTCAAGCCGTAAACAAATATAACATGACTTAGCATCAGTTTATCTCACAGAGAGAGTTGCTTCTATGCTCGTGTTTTGGATTTGCCTATTTTGTGAGGACACTCACTTGATATTATGTCGTCAAAGTAGGATGATCAAAACGTCTTCATTCAGCTAGTTATAAACTTGTATTTTCTGTTGATTTTTTTTCGGGGGGGGGGTTATCTTCCACGATTATAAACCATTACATTTACAATTAATTTACAGGCTGTGGAAATGGAAAATATCTAGACATCAATTCCGAGGTGTACAAAGTGGGAGGTGATCGATGTAGCTCCATGATTCAGACTGCTGGGAAGAAAGGCCAAGAAGCTCTCATATGTGACAACCATCAGTTACCATTCCGTGACGAAAGCTTTGACGCTGCAATATCAATAGCTGTTATACACCATTTTGCTACTACTGAACGCCGCGTGAGGGCTCTTCAGGAACTGGCTAGAATTTTGAGGATTGGTGGCAAAGTGATGATAACCGTATGGGCCATGGAGCAGAATAATCGAAAAGTAGGTTCTGTTTTCTTATTCAAACCTTATATCACCATTTAATTACGTATTTGGCAATCAATACAGTTTCAACGATTTGAAATTGTTCCGTGTGTAAGCTATATATTATTGTACATATAACTACAAACAAGTTAAGTTCCTATTTTATAATAATGATAATCTATTTCTTTGAGAGTGCAATTGTTTCCCAGGATTGTTTGAAATTATAAAAAATAATAAAAGACAAAAATATGAAATTAAACTTAGTGACATCAAGGAACCAGAGAAGTAGCAAGAATGTTCAACTAGGTACTTTAAGTACTATATATGTGTTAAAATTATGTAATAAAGAAGAAACCATTCTTAAATAAAGAGAGTTCGCGCATTTTACTGAAACCATCAGAATACCAACACAGCATTTCACTACGTCTTACATTTAAACACGTGAAAATAACTTTGCTTGGAAATAACGAAAAATCACGCATATATATTCTAAACTTCTCCACGTAATTATTTGTGGGTTAAATTATGAAATAAGAATTCATAATTAGTAGAAGAATACAAGTTACATGACTAAATATATTTTAATAACAGTAACAAAACTAGACATTTTTTACTAATTACTTTGAGGAGGTAGATAAACTAGTGGTTCTCAACCTTATCTGATTCAGGACCTACTTGTAAACATTGATGTACAGTCATGGTACCTAATAAATATAGCTTTAGATTTGTTAAATAAATAAATAAAATATTATCTATTTTGATGTATAGTCATGGTACCTAATAAATATAGCTTTAGATTTGTTAAATAAATAAATAAAATATTATCTATTTTGATGTACAGTCATGGTACCTAATAAATATAGCTTTAGATTTGTTAAATAAATAAATAAAATATTATCTATTTTCAAAGTCTGTTCGCGACCCGATCACACATTCTGACGACCCATGGAGTGATAAATGCTGATCCAGCGACTATTTCTTTCACGCTTTGTCGACCCGCTTGAAGGTGTGAATATGATTTTCAGTTTAAAAAGTCAGAATCGTAATTAGATAATATAAACTATGATTCTGACTTTTTAGATTGAAAATAATTATTTTTAGTAACAAACTATAAAAGAAAAAATCTAACAGCAAAAATAAAACTCAGCAAAAAAAAAAGCGTGGGGCGAGAATGAAAAACACACAATGTTTTCAAGTATTCTTTCCCTTCATAAGCACAGCTTAGGGTCAGTAAAGAATGGTATACACTTTCAATGCAAAATGGTATTGTTTGGTGTACCTGGTGACTGCTAATTGTTGTAGTTTATTTATTAATTGTAACTTAGTAACATTAAGTTCTTTGATCATTTTCCAATTATAATAAATAAATTTAATATTAGCCCATCATTTACAATAACAACAGTAGATGTTTTGAAATGCATTTAGGAGGAAAATACTGATAAACGAGATAAAATCCCATTACAATCTAAAAGTATGCAAGAGGATAAAGATAATTTTAAAGATATTAACTTCTATTCGAGCAAATTCTTTTACATATAGATATTTTTTACCGGAATATTCTAGAAAACAACAAAATATGTCACTGGATTTGTTCTCAGTCTGTGTTGTTAATACAAATGCTAGTCCTAAATATTTAGATATTTACATATAATCATATACTTAGAGTTACCATAATTAATACCAAATAAATATATTGATATATTTCAAGGAGAAAAATATATTCCTGAACTTTAGTCTAATTTTGTTCTAATTCCAAATTACACAGATTATAACGTTTACACTCAAAACGTACTCGGTCAATGCAAGAAAAATAAATCATCAGTGCTTTATCTTAAAGTAGTTTTTGCTAGTTGAAAGGCACTTGTCTGAATTGTGTCTCGGAAGTCTTAATATTATTATGAACATAAAAAACCCGGAAAATACAGGATTGAAATACCTATATTTTTGCATCTTTAGGTTATATAACCATCTTCACCCAGATTACGCTATACGTTTAGAGAAAAATTCCATAATTCGATATGACATAGAACACTATAATTTTACTTTGTCTAAATTCCAGCTGGTAGAAACTGCCATTATAGATAAAGAAATATTAAATTTTTCTGAAAGTTTTCTATTGTTTGTTCCCTTCTAAGTTATATTACGAAAAATTACACATTTTCTTATTTTTAGTTCGATTCCCAAGATGTGTTAGTGCCTTGGCATCAACCTGTGACAAGCAGCAGTGAAGGTGAGAATTTTATTCCGAAAAACTAACCAAAATATTAAAACCAAAACAGTACTTTAAAAACCACCCTGGTTTCTGAATTTTTATATATATATCACGAGCCTTGTGTTTCGTAAAGTATTTATTACTATTTATAATTTGTAATCTGCAGCATGTGGACAGATTTTAAGCTGTAGCATAATCTTAAGGTTAACAGGTACATGGGTGCTCGGTCCTTAAGAATGTTGAAAGGGAACATTATATAGCCACGTGATTCACGGGTAGGTACTTTTTAGCAAGTATTTAACCATAAACTTATGACATATGGAAAACTCTCTATCTTTAACCACGTTGTAGTGAATTAACCCTCATCGGTACGGAGCCACTGTTAAGCCGTACAAAGTATGATTAGGAAGAAAGATCAGTCTCACGTACATTACATAACTTGTACTAGAGAACCGTGTAGCGTATGTTTACTTATTTTTTTAATGCAGTGTTGAAACAGACATAGGAAGGTTGTATTTATAACCAAGTTCTAAATACAATAAGGTTCCAACTCTAATATTCATTGCTTATCTATTATTGTCTGGTAATTCCTGTTTAAGCCTGTACTTAAGCTTTTTAAAGGAACACAGAATTTCCATAAAAAAGCTAACTTTAAGGGATAATGATAACATCATTTACATTAGAATTATGAATTTTTAAACATTACTACTAGTTATTAATAATATTTATAAAAGCGGATACTCAGTTTGAAACTATGTCACTTCAGTAAAATTAGTTGACCATTGTTTTGGTTTTTGAGTTATCATGTAATAAAAAAAAAGAAGCAGAAGAAAGAAGAACAAGAAATTCAAACATTTTACTATGATATTTACAAACATTCCCAGAACTCGTGACTCAGTCATTACATAGATATTGTTACAAAAGGAAACACTGTATAGTATTGTAAAGTTCTGATGATGTATTGAGGAGATATTTAAAATATGCAGTGCTATCATCTGCCTGATAACTTGTACTAGAGAAAGGAGTAGCGTATATTACATAACATGTACAAGAGAAACGTGTAGGTACATCACATAACTTGAATTAGAAAAACTTGTAGCGTAGATGACATAACGTGTTAGAGAAACGAGTAGGAAAGATTAAGGAAACACCTCAGAAGTTGTACTATGTAACACGTTGGAAACACCTCAGAAGTTGTACTATGTAACACGTTCACATATTTTGTTCAAACATTAACCTGACTTAGAGATTCAAACACCTTTTGACAGTGTTATCATTAGCTTTCTTATTCAAACATTATCCTGACATAGAGATTCAAACACCTTTTGACAGTGTTATCATTAGCTTTCTTATTCAAACATTATCCTGACATAGAGATTCAAACACCTTTTGACAGTGTTATCATTAGCTTTCTTATTTAAAGGAGTTAATAAGTAAAGTACATTTGGTGTTAGGTCTGATGTATAATTTTGAACGAAAATAACGTGCACAGGACGGATATTCTTTGGCGCCACACACAAAAAAAAAACGTTTTGCTATACCTTGTTTTTACTTAGTTTTGCATATTTTTATCACCATTTTGTTGTTCTGTGGTGTTTTGCGATGACTTTTTTAAAATACAAATGAACAACTGATAAATCTGAGCGCAAGATTGACTAGTCAGTGCAAGTTGTAAACAACTTATGATATCATATTTTTATGTGTATGTAATGAAACAAATTATCAAAATTATTCATTGTTATTCTGCCTGAGAACAACATATTCAGTTCTCGGATTATGCATAATTCACAGTTGATCTAACGAGAGTGGCTTATAGTTTTTAGACTATTATCTTTTCTGAATTATTCTATTTTGACAAAAACTTCAGCCCTTAGAAAGTGATGAGGTGGCAAAGTTTTATTTGTTGAAATATTAACTTTTTTGTCATAAAGCATTACTAGTGATTAACTTTATTGTTAAAAACTAGATAATTAGACTTTATTTTTTATTCAGATCGTGGTTCTTCAGCAGAACGGGAGCTGACAAGTACCAATACCAGTGACGATGACCTGTTGGTTTACAATGCTTACTTACCACCCTCGGACACGGAAGCACCATTTGGGCACGTCTCTCGCCGAAAGAACAGATTTAAAACCACTGACAGTAGGTATAGAAGTCAGAGAAGTGGTTTTCTCTACAATGGAAGCAGTAGCTCAGAGCTGTCCAGCCCCAACGAGACATGTTACAGTTTCATACGACGTGCCTTTAAGAAATTAACGGTGCCCTCTTCACCTTATTCTGGACATAGCACTTCAAAGCCGTACTTCTACAGCTCTTGTCGACGTCCTTGGTTCTCTGAAAGCACAGAGTCAAGCAATCCTCCTACCCCACCCACTCAACAACCGCAGGAGGAGTTACACAGAGATGAAAGTCAGGATTCTGAAGAGCCCGTCGATATGTGTATAGAGCTACGTCACTTAGAGGAAGATGATTTCACTAGCGTCTCACGTGAAGATAAGCACGGAGAACGTGTGAAAAAGAAAGAAGAGAAAGTCTGGTCTCTGACTGATCTACTAAGCATCATACCGAGTTTCTTCCGCATCAGGAGGACTTCAGATAAAGACACTATGAAGGATCTACAGAAAAGAATATCTACGGTCAGTGATCCTCGTGAGTATCTTGTTAAGTCTGTGACAAAGAATGGCCTAGTGCGATCGAGATCCACTATGTCCTGCGTTGCGCGGTTTGATAGCTTGAAAAGTTTAGTGGACAACACTTTGTATAATAAAGAAAAACTTCCATGTGTAACAGAGTCGACAACAACTGACGATACTGTTTCTAGTAAATTCACAGTTTCAGATATTGCTAACGGTAACATCATTCTGCCCGATAAAGAAAAAAATGAACTAAAAAGTCACGAAAGCAAAAAAACTCCAAAAAAGGTGGTTCCTAAACTTCCCTCAGAATTCATTCCCACTAATGTGGAGAACTCTTCTTCCCTAACATTACCAGACAACGCTAATGTTCTCCACAATATAGTAAATGACATTTATACTGGCGAAGAAATGCGAAGACAAAATACTAAAAATCATGTACTCCTTGCGAAAACAAGTTTTCAGGCTGTTCAAAACAAAAATGCTAATAAAAATTATAGAAATACCCAAACAAATATTGAAAACAATCATGAGACATTAAATTCGGAAGCAGGGATGTTTGAGGCTGAACAAGATAAAGTGGAAAGCCGGTTATCCTCCTATTATTCTATGCCTGAACTGCACACAATAGGAACTGAGGAAAATTTATGGATACATGAAAATCAACTAGCCGTTACTGACCACTCCTTTAGTGCCAATCGACCCGACAAAGATAATTACGATGGTGTCATGGATTATTGGGGATATGGAGACCACGCAATCAGATGGCAAGAAGAGGATGACAACTTCTCTTCAGTAAGTTTAACTGCTAGGTTACCAGCTCATCGATCTAACGATATGTGTGTCTCCATGCTAAAGAAAGGACAGGTGAGGCGTAGTGTAAGTATAGACACAGCTAAAAAGTTGACTCCCACTCCTCAGTCTAGTGGTTCTTCAACTTCATTGGCCCAAGGATTGCCTGTAGGCTGCTTGCGGATTAAACGTATCCCTCAAAGTCCAAGCCGCAGAGAGAGCTTGAAGAGCGACACCAGCGTCGACAGTGAAGAGTCTATAGTGTCAGTTATAGCTCGGAAGAACAATGGGGTTCAGAGTGAGTCAAGTGTTGACAGTGAGGAGTCCATTATCTCAGTCATTCAACGGAGTTCTAGTGAAATTGAAGCCCTGATGATGCGAAAAGAACATTCTCGAGCTGGCAGCCGCTCTGCTCAAGCTTCACCTTTAACCCTACTTAATAGTTCTGGTAACACCTCAGACTCTTCGCCACCACTTTCTGCTTCAGGACTGGGTACGAATTCTTCCTATGCTACAGGATTACATTATTCTAGGCCTAATGGAGACCAAAAGTCTTCTCAAACCAATGTTAATGCAGGTGCCTTGGAGAGAGACATCTGTTCCTCACCTGTACCAGAAACCACAACACATGAAGGTCGCACATCAAACCAGAAATACACCTACGTTCGAGAATGTGAAGCTGTCGAAAAATCACCAAATGTTTCTCCGCCTAAATTAATCGCAGATAAACCATTCACAGACCACAATCTACATTCTAAGCAAGTGTTTACATTTGATGAAAAGGAAACATTTCCATCATTCGACAACGGAAAAAAGGAGTCTCATATAAATACACTTAATAATACCGTTGACCAATATTTTATTAAGAATTTGGATGTTAGTGTTTCCTGCCAAACAAGAGGAACTTTGCTATATCAGAAGAACGAATTTGACCCTAGGCCAATATGCTCGTCACGTTCACTATTTCAGCAAACTAGAAATACAGGAAGTCTTGGTCTCATAACAATCCCCGCTGAGCAGCCATTTAAACCATTTTCTGGTTGTTCAGTTGAAGAGAAGCTGGAGACATCAATAAATGAAGAGGGGTTAAAAGTTAAGGGTGAAAACGTAGAAGTTTCTGGCGATCATCAAAGTTTGAAAAGTAACGACAAAGTACAATGCCCAAATCAGATTAAACTGGGTGAAAATTGTAACATTAATTGGAAAGATTCTTCCTCTTCTTTATCGAGTAATGCTGCTGAATTTATTAAACCTACAGATAGACCTGATATTGTACCAAATGTAGCTCAGAATGATACCTGTAGCCCTATAAACATGATGAAAGGTTTCGAGAGTAAATTTTATGGAAACGATAAGTTCGTAGATATTTTACCCAGACTGCTAAACAAAGACGAGTGTCGTGAAACTACTGTTAATACCACAGTAGAAACATTAAATAGTGCTACTGGTCAAAAACGCAACGAGCCTTTAGAAGACTCGAGTCGCCTGAATAAATACGACAGTGAAATTTTAGCGAAAGTTAATAAAACACCAATGAAATCGAGTGAAATTCCAAAAGACGTTTCTAAAGATAACGTTGTGCAAATATCTGATTTTGCTGATGATATGATGAATTGTGTAAATAATACCAGTGGTAATATCTGTTTTCAAAAAGGAAGGGAAAACTTATTAGTAACTAACAGTAAAAGAATTTCTTCCGTTGTTTTAAAGTCTGAAAATCACAGCGAGTGTGTAAAAGATGCAGAAAGAAATGTACTTCCAGATAACTTGCCTAACTTTAACGAAGTAAATGCACGTTTGCTTGAAACAGGTGCTTCTAATCCCATAGACGGTACAAAATTGTTGTCTATGGTAGCTCAACATATAGACATGTTACAGGAAAGCCTTACGGCTGAACAATTGAGAATAGAGGATACCATAGTTAAAGATATAGAAATTGAAGAGAAAGATAACCAAAAAACTGAAAGTGTAACAGTTGAAGAAGAGAACACAAATAAGAATGTTACGATCAAAAATCAGACACAAGAGCCTGTCATTATTGAAGTTCAAAAAACAAAAACCAAAGATCTAAACACAGGAAAGACTATCACAGTTACAGATCTGATAATAGAGGACTTTGAAGAAGTAGATCAAACAGTAATAGGAAGTAGTTCAAGTGAAGACAAGAGAACAAGAGCTGATGCATGTGGAGATCGTAGATTGGAAGAGGCTGTTAAAGTAGTAGACCAAAATACAGAAACTGGTGAAGGCAGTAATATATTAGAGGCGGTTACAGTTGAAGACAAACAAATAAAAGCTCTTACTGTTGGAGACCGTAAAATATTGGATGTTATTGCAGTTGAAGATGAAAGGGTAGTAGCTGATACTAGTAGAGACAGTAATGTATTAGAGTCTGTTACAGTTAAAAACAAACATATAAAAGCTCTTACTGTTGGAGACCGTAAAATATTGGATGTTATTGCAGTTGAAGATGAAAGGGTAGTAGCTGATACTAGTAGAGACAGTAATGTATTAGAGTCTGTTACAGTTAAAAACAAACATATAAAAGCTCTTACTGTTGGAGACCGTAAGATACAGGAGAATGCTACAGTTGTAGACCAAGTAATAAAAGATGATACTACTGGAAACCGTATAATATTGGAGACTATTACAGGTGAAGTCCAAAAGACGAAGGTTATTAAAAGTGGTTGTGATAACATGGCAAGATCTGTCTTAACTGAAGAACAAAGACTAGGAGACTTCATCTCAACAGAAGAACAAGAAATAATGAAAGCATTCGCATTGGAAAGCCAAAAAGTAAAATTGGAAAATAAACTTGGTTGCACCGAAAAAGAAACATTAGTTCATGAAATCAATGACGCAGTGGATTTAACAAATAAAATGACATCGGCTCTTAAGAAATCTGACCATTCTGTTAATTATCTGCAAGATGACGATCAAAAGCACGTCAGTATGGAACTAACTGATGTCCCCGAAATATTTCACGCTGACCAGACTGTTTTGGAAGTTAAACAACAGAAAGAGACATTGGCTACCAAACAAAACACAACTGGCTCTTTAGTTCAAAACAAATCCTTGTCAATGTCGAGTTCTCAAGAGAGCTTGCAGGACCATGAAGATGGTGCCATGACATACCATCGGTATTATCACGTGTTTCGCCAGGGTGAACTGGATTCTCTTATTGAACGATACGTCGAAAACCTGCATATTATATCATCTTATTATGATCATGCCAACTGGTGCATTATAGCAGAAAAAGTTCAAGTGTGGACAATTTAGTTTCAACTAGGTTAGAATGAAACGTGTGTTTGTTCGTCTATGTCAAGCTGTAACTAAAGAGAAAGAAGAGGGAGATAATTGGTTGAAAAATCATATTTCACTTTGCTCTCATAATGTAAATAATTCAACTTTCTTTTTAAAAAAAAGATATGTACAAATTAAAAAGTTACAAGAACACATATTAAGATACTTGTGGAAAAATATGTTTACAAATTGAACCCTGTCGTTACTTGGGTCGGAGAGGACAAACTTTTTTCGTCTCAGTATCTTCTCCAGGCTTCCAACGTCATACATTTTTTATGAATTAAAATTTCACCATTGTACATAACATAACAAGAGCTTTTTGGTGCTCATGCCAACTTCTTTTTCAACAACATTTTGAGCTCAATCCTATAAAATTTTGTGACTTAAAAATTCATTATCTTAGAAATTTTCAGCCCATCACGTCTAGCGCCATCTATTTACAACAATAGGTACCACTTCAATATAATTTATTGCACAGAAAACTGCTGGTATGAACAGTTAACAAACCATATATCTAAAATAGTTAAAATTAGAAAAATTATTTAATAGTAAAAATATTTATTATACTTTTCTCTACTCTTACTGTTTTGCAAACACAGAAATTACCAGTATTTAACCCTCTTAAAATAGGTATCAAAGTAATTAATTAATAGGTTGCGCTAGTGCTGGTGGGCATTGGTCGCTATAACTGCTTCTCGTCAAGTGTTTCTTCTGACTGATTCTATTCTATCACAGTTCTAATCTCATGTTTTACTCAACTATACCCGGTGGTAACTTCGTACTTCTGGCTCTCTGTGATATATCAGTGCTGCTTTAAATTTTCCTGATTTAATTCAATAATATGTAGTTGAAGTTTGTAAATTCAATCGCATGTAAATTATAACAACGAATTTTCTACATAAAGTTGAATAAAATCTTTTACTGAAAACATGATGAACTGTTCATATGATTGACAATATTAAACTTCAATTGACCCAATGATGGCATACAGAATTACAAACCAATAGCAAAATCGTACAAACGCCAAGATAATACTCTTCCAGTGTCGGTTAATTTGAGAATTGGTTTATCTATAGGTAAGAAACTTAATCAGCCAACATTGCCAAAGAAAATCACATGCTAAGAACAAACATCTTATACCACCAATACCCAAAGATAAATACAAGCGGTTTATCTATAGGTAAGAGCGAACATCTTGATCAGTCAACACTGCTAAAGTTAAGCACAAACAGCTTAACCAGTCAACACTACCACATAAAAACAAAAACTATTTATCAGTAGGTAAAGATAATCAGATTGACCAGCCAACAATGGCAAAGATAAACACAAGCTATTTATCTGTAGGTAAGGATAATCAGATTGACCAGCCAACACTGCCAAAGATAAACACAAGCTATTTATCTGTAGGTAAGAAAAACACATTGACAAGTGCCAGAGATAAACACAAACTATTAATATTTATCTGTAGGTAAGGGCAATCAGCTTGACCAGCCAACACTGCCAAAACATATTGATAAACGCCAGAGATAAACACAAACTATTAATAAGTAAGGGCAAACAGCTTGACCAGCCAACACTGCCAAAGATAAACACAAGATGTAAAAAAATCCACTTACTATATTCAAATGTATACATTTTAAAATGATTTGACAAAAATGTGCATTATTGTATATTTTTTATACTTTCATTCCTATTTCAAGCATATATTACTGTTTTTATAAACCCTAGTTCTTGTAATTAGATGTTTCAAATATTATCATAATGTTATACAAATCGTAATAATTAAAATATTATAATTAAAAAAAGTTAATTTATATTTTAAAATATGAATCCCATATTTAGATAATTTTCAAGAGTTAGTAGCACACTTTAATACTAAGATTCCTGTTAGAGATTTTGTAAGGACGAAATTGTAAGTAGCTGTTTTATCTCCATTGAAAATCATTGAGGATGTATGAGTGAATACGGTTATCAGAACTTCATAGTTTTAAAATACCATGTGACATGCAAATTCTAGTGGTAGGTCATTCAAAATACATCGAACTTCTAGTTATAGTGGCCAAACATTTAAAACATATAAAAGACAGTTCTAAAACTATGGCCATGACATTTACAACATGCGTAAATTTCTTCTAGTACCGTAGCAGGAGATTTCAAACATCAAAAACACCTCTAGTTCTACTGGTAACACATTTAAAGCATCAAAAACACCATTAGTTCTACTAGTAACACATTTAAAACACCATATACACCTCTAGTTCTACTGGTAACACATTGAAAACATCAAATACGCCTCTAGTTCTATTGGTAAGACATTTAAAATACCATATACACCTCTAGTTCTACTGGTAGCACATTTAAAACATCAAATACTCCTCTAGTTCTATTGGTAACACATTTAAAACATCAAAAACACCTCTAGTTCGACTTTAACACAGTTAAAACATCAAACACGCCTCTAGTTCTACTGGTAAGACATTTAAAGCATTAAATATTCCTCTAGTTCTACTGGCAAAACATTTAAAACATCAAATACACCTCTAGTTGTACTGGTAAGACTTTTAAAACATCAAATACATATTTAATTCCATAGGTAAAACTTTTGAAACATCAAATACACATTTAGTTCTACTGGTAACACCATTAAAACATCATATACACCTGTTTTAGTAGTAAAAATTTAAATCATTTCACTTCTAGTTCCAGTAGCAAACATTTAAAATATCAAATATGCCTCCAGTTCTACCGACAACACATTTAAAACATCAAATACGCCTATAATCCTACTGGTAAGACATTTTAAACATAAAATACACCTTTAGTTCTACTGACAACATATTTAAAATATCAAATACGCCTCTAATCCTACTGGTAAGACATTTTAAACATAAGATACACCTTTAGTTCTACTGACAACATATTTAAAATTTCAAATACGTCTCTAATCCTACTGGTAAGACATTTTAAACATAAGATACACCTTTAGTTCTACTGACAACATATTTAAAATATCAAATACGCCTCTAATCCTACTGGTAAGACATTTAAAACATAAAATACACCTTTAGTTCTACTGATAACATATTTAAAATATCAAATACACACTAGAACTAATGGTAGGATATTTGAAACGTCAAATACATCTCTAGACCTAATAGTAACACATTTAAGATACCAAATACACCTCTAGAACTAATGATAAGACATTTAAAACATCAAATACACGTCTAATTCTACTCCTAGTGGCAGGACATTTAAAATATATAATACACTTCTAGTGGTAATAAGACATTTAAAGCACATGAAATACACTTTCATGTAGAGTTCTAACAGTAGAACTTTTAAAACAAATGAAAAATTTGTAGTCGGTTGTTATTTAAACATATCAAATACGCTTTTAGCTCAAGTGACAGGAGATAATTTTAAATTATACCATATACACTTGTTATTTTAGGAGGCGGGACAGTTTGAAAAGGTTAAGAATAATAACTATACAAATTTATATCAGTTACTTAAAAGCGTTGATTTGGTTTCTCAGAAGGTGTTTCAAGTCATCAAAAATCTCCCGTTCTTGTTATTCGACTATTGTTTCTGTCGTCCATGCAGCTACTTCATACAAGACGTTGGCCAATTATGACATAGGGATTTATTTTGGTCTTATAAAAATATAGGTCAAAATAAGACAGAGCGTAACTGATGTTTATAGCTAAGTATTTCAGATCAAAATTCTTAGAGGCACTTGTTGATCAGCAGACTGAAGTTGACATCCAACGGAAAGTGTATTATTGAATACTCTTGATGCAGAATAGCGGAAAATGTCCTGCCAGAACCCGTCTTCATAAAGTATTAGTAGTGTACGCTGAACAGGAAAACTGTGTTTATTATACTGCCAATTAACTCTTACAAACTAAAGAGGAGGAAGAAATGCACCAAAAAGAAGTTCAGACTGAAACGTTTTAGTTATTATGTTTGAAATCATTTTTGATATAAATGAGCATACGTGTGATACATCATGAACCATGATAATGGTTTGTAATAGAGATCGCAAGGAATTGTACTATAGATTCAGTTCAAACCACACTTTAAAACCTTTGCTATTGACTGCTAAGGCTGTACACATATACAAAAGGCACAAAAAAACGCCACCAAATATAATTCTAGATAACAGCATGGAGCCAAAATAGGGGCTTTCAGTTTGAGTAAATAATGTCTACAGTATCTCCAGCCTTGTTTCCTTGCTTTTTCTGCGATCCCTATTTGCAGGTTTTTAAATTCCCAATTTTTCTTGTTCTCTAAAGTTTCTAGTACAAGAAATTATACAGTTATTGGTTCTTGTTAGATCAGCTGGCCAATGGCCAGTGAAGATTAAGCGCAATTCGATTCACAATTATTATCTGATTCGCCAGCAAGAATAACTCGGCTCACTAATTGAAAACAACGTTGTTATTCCTGCAAGAGAATCAGATAAGGAGGTTTAGGCCTTCACTTAATCTAGTTCGTCACTTAAAACAGAGACATTTATTAACTCATTTAAGTGCCTCTCTGCATCCAACTGAGGAATTATGAAAAGCAACATTATTTTGAAATTTTTACTTTTTTGACTAACGGGGTGAAAAACTTATAGTATACCCCCATAATACAGTTTCCCCACCTTTCTTTCTAGGCTGACCCGTCCGTTCATCAATCTAGAGCTATAAAAAAGTCAGATCAAACTTTACTCACGTAACACTCAATTATTTAAACTAATTCCTTATTCTTTCTCGTTAAATACTTGTCCAGTAACACTTAAATTAAACTAAACACTGCAATACAAAACAACACTACATGCATTACAAAGTTCACCCACTTTAGGAGTGGGTGGTCTAAACATGCTCCCAATTTAATAAAAGATATATATACAAAGATGTCCTTTACCAAAATGAAAATACCAGCTTAAAAACCCTACATAGCTATATTAAACATTTCTCGCAATGCAAGCTTCATAGTGTAAGCTCCTTCAATTGGCCGAAAATATCACATATATTACAGAGACAAAATGCCAGGATACAAAATTCACACAATTTACCTCGAATTCTAAAAGCAGTATTAAGCCTACTTTTATTTCTCAGACTCAAGGACGCATCCTCCTCCTCCTGTGGTTTGAAGTAGAACATGTTGCTCACCTGCTTGTGGTTAGAAGAATGTATAAAATGTATGTGTACCTGATGATGACAAAACCTTGTCGAAACGTTGTACATTTGCTGTTATGTTAAACTTATATTCAAGTTTTT